AAAATACACTGCTCAAAAAAATAAAGGGAACACAAAAATAACACATCCTAGATCTGAATGAATTAAATATTCTTCTGAAATACTTTTTTCTTTACATAGTTGAATGTACTGACAACAAAATCACACAAAAATAAAAAAATGGAAATCCAATTTTTCAGCTCATGGAGGTCTGGATTTGGAGTTACACTCAAAATTAAAGTGGAAAAACACACTACAGGCTGATCCAACTTTAATGTAATGTCCTTAAAACAAGTCAAAATGAGACTCAGTAGTCTGTGTGGCCTCCACATGCCTGTATGACCTCCCTACAATGCCTGTGCATGCTCCTGATGAGGTGGCAGATGGTCTCCTGAGGGATCTCCTCCCAGATCTGGACTAAAGCATCTGCCAACTCCTGGACAGTCTGTGGTGCAACGTGACATTGGTGGATGGAGAGAGACATGATGTCCCAGATGTGCTCAATTGGATTCAGGTCTGGGGAACGGCCGGGCGAGTCCATAGCATCAATGCCTTTGTCTTGCAGGAACTGCTGACACACTGCAGCCACATGAGGTCTAGCATTGTCTTGCATTAGGAGGAACCCAGGGCCAACCGCACCAGCATATGGTCTCACAAGGGGTCTGAGGATCTCATCTCGGTACCTAATGGCAGTCAGGCTACCTCTGGCGAGCACATGGAGGGCTGTGAGGCCCCCCCAAAGAAATTCCACCCCACACCATTACTGACCCACTGCCAAACCGGTCATGCTGGAGGATGTTGCAGGCAGCAGAACGTTCTCTAACTTTGGCCAGTGTTTGTGACTAAGTGGCTACTAAAAAAGACTGTCAAAAGATTGTCTACTTTTACAAATGGTATGCCATCATGATACGGTACGGTCTCAATATAGCAAATTTGAAGGTTAAAAAACATGAAATGCAAGCCTTATATTTGATTTTTAAAAAATCTATAAAACCTATACATGGTGGATACTGTTATACTCAGGAGACTTCACTGAATACAAATGCCTCACTATCTTTTGTTGGTCTTTACTTTACCAACAACCCAAGACAAACTGAGAGTAAAGGTGGAGGTGTTGGTTTTCTGCTTTCACCCCACTGCTCCTTTAAAACTCTACCCACCCCCCTCCCTCTCTTTTCCATCATTTGAAATTCATTCAATTTGCCTTTTCAAACCCTTCTCTGCTAACATTGCCGTAATCTATCGTCCCCCTGGTTCCCCTCTCCTCTTCCTTGACCACTTTGCTGCCTGGCTACCCTACTTCCTCTCTTCCAACATCCCATCCCTAATTCTTGGAGACTTCAATATTCCCATTAACCTACCTTTAACCCCAGCAGCCTCTAAACTACTTTCAATTACTTCCTCCCTTGGACTTGCAGTGGGCTAATTCTCCCACTCATGTAGCTGGCAATACCCTCAACCTTATTTTCTCTTATTCATGTACAGTATCTAATATCTGCAACACTCCATTTCCTCTCTCTGATCACCACCTCTTATTGTTTGCTCTCAGTACCCCCTCACCAACAACCTCAGCCCAACCCCCTCAACTCAGGAGGAACCTTAATTCTATTGACCTCCAGCAGCTGTCAGCTGATATTGATTCACAACTGCTATCCATCCCTTCCCTCTCCTGTCCCTCACTGGCCATCTCCACATATAACACTACCCTCACCTCTGCCTTGAACACTGCAGCCCCGCTCCAAACATGCACCTCGAGGAGGACACGACCCCAACCTTGGCATACTAAATCAACACGCTATCTGCAGAGTTGCTCCCGTTGTGCTGAACACTCCTGGAGGAAGTCTCGCACCCAGTCAGACTTTCTCCATTATAGATTCATATTGTGTTCATACAGCGCAGCCCTTGCCCTCGCCAAACAGTCATATTTTTCCTCTCTCATTAGTTCATGCTCCACAATCCCAGGTGTCTCTTTGACACCTTTAACTCTCTTCTTCGCCCTGCTGTGGCCACCCCCCAAACTAACCTTACAGCTGATAGCTTTGCATGCTACTTTACCGACAAGATTGAAGAGCTAAGGAAAGAATTCTCCCCACTTTGCCGTTCTCTTTCTCAACCACATGTAGATCATGCCTTTCCTACCCTTCAGACTTTCTCCCGGGCTACTGAACAAGAGGTGGCTGCACTCTCGCCCCACCACTTGCCCCCTCGATCCTGTCCCATCTCACCTCATCAGAGCTCTCTCCCCTTGTCTTGTGCCTTCCTTAACACACATCTTCAACTGCTCTCTCTTTTCTGGCATTGTCCCTGCAGATGTTAAAAATGCAACTGTAGTACCCATCCTGAAAAAAACATCTCTTGACCTGTCCTCTCCCTCTAACTATCGTCCCATATCCCTGCTCCCTTTTTCCTTGAAGCTTCTGGAAAGACTTGTCTTTGCCTGTGTGTCTCACTTCCTCAATCCCAGCTCTCTCCTTGACCCTCTGCAGTCTGGCTTCTGCCCTCTCCACTCTACTGAGACTGCTCTTATCAAAGTTACTAACAACCTAATCGCAGCTAAATCCAAAGGCCACTACTCCATACTAATTCTTATTGACCTCTCTGCTGCCTTTGACACTGTTAAACATGCTCTCCTTCTTCAAACTCTTCAATCACTCGGTCTCTCTGACTCTGTCCTCTCGTGTTTTTCCTCTTATCTCTCCCAACACTCATTCAGTGTCTCCTTTTCTAATGATCCTTCCTCCCCTCGACCTGTCTCGGTTGGAGTTCCCCAAGGCTCTGTCCTTGGTTCTCTTCTATTTTCTCTTTACACTGCCTCTCTTGGCAAACTTATTGCCTCTTTTGGATTCCACTACCACCTGTACGCTGATGACACCAAGATATATCTCTCCACCCCGGACCTTTCCCCTGCCGTCCTACAACGTGTCACTGCTTGCCTTTCTTCTTTCTCTGACTGTATGTCCGCCTGCTTTCTAAAACTCAATCTCTCTAAAACTGAACTCCTTGTCTTTCCTCCTCCTAATACTGATCCTCCTCTCTCGCTCTCCCTTCAAGTCAGTGGTATCCAAATAAGTCCATCCTTGCAAGTGCACTGTCTTGGCGTCATATTTGACTCTGGCTTCACATCCAGTATGTTGCCAAATCCTGTAGATTCCAACTTATAAACATAGCCTGCATCCGCCCCTTTCTTACAAAAGATGCTACCAAGGAGCTTGTCCATGCTCTAGTAATTTCCCACATGGATTATTGTAAACCTCTCCTGATTGGTCTTCCCAAAAGCCGTATTGCCCCGTTACAGTCTGTGCCGAATGCTGCTGCCATGCTGATTTTCCTCTCACACCTCACCCCTCTGTCAGTTCTTAAAGTGGCTTCCTGTATCCTATAGTAGTTAATTTAAAGTGCTAACCCATACATATAAAGCACTGAACAATTCTACCCCCTCTTATATCTCTTCACAGATCCATAGGTATGCCCCTTCTCGGTCCCTGCGCTCTGCCTGTGACCTTCTCCTGTCTGCTGCTCGCACCCGTACGGCCAATTCGCGCTTCCAGGACTTCTTGCTTGCGACTCCCTTCCTATGGAATAGCCTGCCTACCCCAATCAGACTCTACCCTAGTCTTCAATCATTTAAGAAGTGCCTTAAAACCCATATCTTTAGGAAAGCTTATGGCCTCCCAGAGTAACCTCTACCTTATATACCTGTCGTTTGCTCTCTTCTAAAGGGCAGCACTCTACTCTCTCCTCCAGCTCAGCTTCACTCCCACCTTATTTTATTGATATTTCTGTTCTAATGTGTTTATACCCCACATCCTATGGACTGTAAGTTTGTTTGAGCAGTGTACTCTTCAACATATTTTTCCTGTAAGCTTTCTTGTAATAGTCCTACTTATAGTTAAATATCCCTCTCATATTATTGTAAAGCGCTACGGAATCTGTTGGCGCTATATAAATGGAGATAATAATAATAATAATACAAATATTTGTGTTTCAAAACAGTAAAACATATTACAACAATATCATCAGTAAAAGAGCCGTTTGTGTGTGAAAAATGCAAATAAGATTCACTTTCACTGAGAATATAATCATTGTAGTGCAATTTACTGTTTTGAAACACTAATAATTGTGTTCAGCGAAGTCTTTCCAGTATGCCCAAACCCCCCCTATGTACAGGTTTTAGAGTGTTTTGCAAAGTTACAGGGTTAAATATAGTGCTTGCAAATTAAATTCTCTGAACTTTCTGCCTGGGTTGTCTTGTACGGCCCTCAAATTTTAATTAATCAAATCACATATTTTGTTAAAAGATTACATAAATATACTTGTAGAATTTTAATATAGACACACATAAATGTATTTAAATTCTACATGTATACTTAAGTAATCATTTATAATTATATATATTTATATATATATATATATATATATATATATATAGATAGATAGATAGATAGATATATTTGCAATTATTTGTATTTATATATATATATATATATATATATAAAGTCATTCTAAGTGTATTTTGCTACTAATATATATAAATGTATATCAAAATATAGTTAGAAGGAAATTACACATGCATATAGAATTTTTAATTGTATTTATTTATTATTGTAATTATATGTATATAGATATATAGTATATGTATTATATATATATATATATATATATATATTTATATATCTTATATATATATGTAACTTGATTCTAAGTGTATTTTAATTTTAATATATGTAATTATATTTATATTAAAATACACGAAGTATGAAGTTACATATATATAAGATATATATTATATATAGGGGAGGGCGGAGCCGAGCCACCGATGGAAAAAGACGCGTGAGTTCTGAGCTCCCTCTCCTCTGAGCATATAATCCGCTTACATCTGCCCTAAAAACACACTACCTAACCCTAAAAATAGGATATGTCAGCACAAGAACGCCAACACCACCAACCCCAACCATGGGCGGCAATAAAAAACGCAAAGAGATACCGCCATCGGTAGCCACATTTTTCGGGCCCGGGAAAATGGCTGTCCATCTCTCTCGCAGGACCCGCCTGAATCAGGTTCTGACAGTGAGGACAGGGAGGCACAAGGGGATCTCACAGCACCCCTCACCATGGGTGACTTAAAAAGGCTGCTCCAAGAAACCTCCGCAGACATTAAGGCACATACAGCCGCGGAACTCGAGAAACAAATAACAGGGCTCAAAGATGATCTTGAGGCCCTAACCTCATGCACAAACAAGGCAGAGACCCAAATTGCGGGGATGGGGGGCAATAGGCCCCCCCTTTAGTTTAAAAGCCCCCACTCGCCTGTCGCGGGTGGGGGCTCAGGAGGGGGGAATGTTTTTTTGTTTTTTTTAACAGTGAGCAGCCACAGACTGCTCACTGTTTAATAAACACGCCCCTACTTGCGGTATAGCGAGTAGGGGCATAATTTACCTATACTTGCTGCACTGGCCAATCACAGCCATGCCATTAGTAGGCATAGCTGTGATGGCTTCTAATGGCACACGAGTCAAACGCTTGTTGATTGGCTGCCCTGCGGCCTTTCAAAACGCGTCATTAATTTGCCAAACTCCAACCCGAACATACAGTGATATGTCCGTGTTTGGGTCCGGGGTCCAAAAAACCTTTTCAGTTCGGGTTCGCTCAACTCTACTCACGAGGGTAATGGACATAACCTACCTGAACGGCAGTCCACACCTACCGCATAGATCAGGTTTTATGTTCTTAACGACATGGTTACTAATAATATTTCAGTTTATATGTCTTGTTCTATAATTAATCAAGTTCACACCACACTGCTTCAATGTGATGGACAGGGCCCATACTAGGGCCACACACTGCTAACATGTATATAGCGAGTACTACTGAGGCTGCGCAGAGACCTAGCGAAGGCCCCATCCTATGACACTTACAGCATGCGGCATGAAGCGGAGGGGACACAATCTGTACCCTGCCACCCCTACTGAGGTCCACAACTCCCAAACTCAGAGGTGGCTTAGTTATCAGCACCGATCAGGGCTTAATGTCATATTACCCTTAAAGGCCATAACTCCCTAAGGGATGCTCGGAGGCTCCCACGCTTGGGTTAATTCAGGACCCCCCCTCCCAAGTATGTCACACTACAGCTCGTTATTCTTGAACACCCATCACTCCCTTACCCTGTGGCAGCTTACACCAGGAGCTGGGTCCAGGAGTTGATCCAGGCCAGGGTCTAAACTAATGTTTTACATGCCAAACCTTTGCTATACAATCTATGATTTACGCATATGCTTGCACACAACGGCTCCGGGCACTATATACCTGAATGACTGCTCTCACCTAACGCATGAGTCAAGTGTTATGATATCCTTATGACAGAGTTGTTAATGATGTTCCAGTTTATCTGTACTGTTATATGTTTAACTAAGTTCCTATTGCATTGCTTAGATGTGGGGGATAGGACCCGTCACAAGGTGATACCCTAATGACACAGGCATCGTGAGTACACCACCCCTATTGAGGCAGCACACCCTGAGCGGAGGGCCTCCACAGATGATGGGTGTACAAACATACACAATCCAGGCCCCATCCTTTGAATATTTTGGCTCGCCGCGCACCGCGGCAGGGATACATTTGGCACCTTCTCCACTCATTCGGGGGCTCGTGACCCTCTCAGATGAGCGGAAGCCTAGGCACCCGCTCAGACCGGTGCTCCATACCACACTCCCCTCGAAGGTTTTAACACCTTCACGCAATCTCAGAAGCCCCCACATTTGGGATAATCTGGACCCCACCCACAGTGTGTAATATTAATGTGCCTTATTCCTTTATACCTACCACTCTCTACCTCTGTGACAAAATGACACCGCACCAGGCGACGGGCCTTCAGGTTGCCCTAGGTCAGGGTTTAGAATACTGCTTCATATATTCACACTCCACTTTCAATTTTATGATTTGGGTTCAACCATGTTAACACTACCCTGTTCGCAACTACCTGTAGGCTGTGGTCCATAACATGCAGACACTCTGTTCCTAAAGTTTTTCTCATGCTAGGGAACCCTTTGCCCATTCTGAGGCACCCTGTTAAGGGACATTGCCATCTGTAGATGACAGTCGCCCACTTGGTATTACCCTTGGACGCATACACTGATGACTAATACCCACTACAACCCTGGTAGGGAAAGCACCCAGTAGCAATAGCACTGACAGATAGGGAAGGCTCTCCTGCCCCAGGTGACCCCTGGTATGTATAATGAGGCTATATGATAGCTGACCATGCAGGGCCACACAACACTAGACAAGCAACACATGGAAACTGGGGGAAATCACAGGGCACCAATGAGAATGCAGACAACTGAATGAACACTTTCGGAATTGGACGAACGCAAGCTCAGGGGGGAGGGATGGGACCACCACCTGCCTATTTGTATATACCACAGCCTATTCCTCCCTACACAACTACCTCTGCTGCTATTTACTTTCCCCCTATCTGATCTGGGACCCTATCCCCCAGCAAACCGGACCTACTCTGTCTCGACATACCAGGTAGATTACATATATACCCTCTCCAATATCCCCCAACATCTTCCTCCCCGAACACCCACCACCCCCTTACAGCTCTCCTTTTCCTTTTTTTATCTTTTTTTCTATAGCTCACTCCCCCTCTCGATCCTCCTTACGTCCAACTCCACTCTCGACCTCCTACTCCAGCCACTCTAATTGTGACTTCCTCAGTCACCAAACCTATCCTCTGGGCATTCCCACATCCACCTCCCTAGAGACACATAGACCCACGGAGGAGAACCCGAACTCAATATGCCGTCTTCTCTGTCCTGAACATCCAGAAATTGAACAACCCCTCAAAACGCCACCAACTTTTGAGATGGGTGAACAGAACCCAAGCCCAAATCGTCCTGCTCCAGGAGACCCATTTCACACACTTTAACAAATATTAACTAGGTAGCTCCCCAACGGAAAAGCAGAACGGTGTCGCGATCCTATTTCACAAATCTTGCCCCCTAACAGTGAACTGAACTATATCGGACCCCCAAGGCTGATATGTAACGATAGTGGGTCACATTGGACCCCAGAAATATGCCTTCACCCCAGTTCATGCACCTAACACGCCTACCTCCTCCTTCTGGCAGAGCTTGCAAGTTCACCTCTCTCTCTACTCTTCACATCACCTGATTGTAGGGGGTGATTACAATGCCACCTTGCCTCCCTCAATAGATAGACACAAAGCTGTAACAACCAAAAAACGTTGACCGCCTACAGCTAAATCGGATAAACTCTTCCAAACCTTTATATCCCGCACACGTCTCTTAAACGCCTGGAGACTGCAAAATCCAAATTCCTGAGACTACACTTTCTTCTCCCGCCCCCACCAATCACACTCTCGTATAGACCTGTTCTTGATATACCCCAGTTTGGCACCAACGCTCATATCCACCTCCAGAAGCTCCATCACATGGTCCGACCATGCGGACATTATGCTACAACATCACATTCCAAACTTACACAGAACATGGTCCTGGCGCCTCAACCCCACTATAATACATAACCCGACCTTATGAGAGTCCATTTCCCAAGCTATCTCAGAATATTTCAGTCTAAACAAAGACTCGATTAACTCTAAAGGCTCCCTATGGGCGAGACATAAAACGGTCCTCAGGGACACAATAATCATCTTAACCTCCCACGATAAAAAACAATGCCTAGTGCGCCTTGAACACACTCTCGCAGAACTACGCATACTGGAGACAAAGCTCAAAAGTAATCCCACCCCAGAATTAAAGACCAACATTTCTCAATGCCAAAATATGATAAAAGATTTCATGGCTAGGGATTCCGCGAAAACCCTACAATGGACCAGACAACTATATTATGAGAAGTCCAACAAACCGACTCTGTCCTGGCCCGTAAACTCAAGATCGGACCGAAAACACAGACCAAATCAACTCCCCTGATGGCAACACCCATGACCTACCAGATCGAATAACCACTATCTTCCAAGAATACTTCACCACCCTCTATGACCACAGCCCACACATTCACCTCGAACTGGGATGAGTTGCATCGCAAATAGATGCATATCTGGAATCGATTAACCTGCCCTCTATTACCCCCGCGGGCGCCAATCAACTGATTACACCAATCACGCCAGAAGAAACAGCGAACACATTCAAAACCCTGAAACCAAATAAATGCCCGGGAACAGATGGGCTCTCAGGCCTTTACTATAAAACATTCGGTCACCTATTGATCCCGCACCTATGCAACATCTTTAATTCTCTACTAGAGGGCATTGCACTACCTCCCGATATGTTAAAGGCGAACATTTGACTTCTCCCTAAACCAGACAAGTCCCTCCTGGAACCAGGACATTATCACCCCGTCTCACTGTTAAATGTGGATATCAAGATATTCACAAAACTCATGGCAGAACGACTCAATCCCTTTCTTCCCAAACTTATCCATCCGGATCAAGTGGGGTTCATCCCCACAAGACAAGCCAATGATGATACTAGAAGGACTTATGATCTCATTTGGTACACAGACAATCGACAGATCTCCACTTTAATCCTATTACTTGATGCCGAGAAGGCCTTTGATAGATTGCTATGGCCCTTCCTCTTTGCTACTCTCCACAAATTTGGATGCGGACGACCTGTTCCTAACAATAACGGACCCCATAAACTCCATGCTCCCACTTCTAGCAGCCCTACGGGACTATGCCACTGTCTCTGGGTATAAATTAAATGTGGAGACAGAAGCTCTCACCATACAGGTTCAACCGCAAACCCTCAAGGACCTTCAAAAACTATAACCATTCAGATTCCAACCCGCCGCAATTAAATACTACTACTGGCTGACCTATCCCAAACATATCACTGTAATTATAATCCACTACCGCACAAAGCCCACCAAGACTTAAACACGTGGAATAGTATGCCCATCTCTTGGCTAGGACACTTAGCGTCCATAAAAATGAACCTCCTGCCAAGGTTAGTATATCTTTTCCAGGCCCTCCCTGTGCCGATTTCGCTGCGGGATTTCAAAACACTTTATTCCCATATTGACAAATTCATATGGGCCAACAAAAAAGCCAGGATCAAACATTAAACTCGGTATGTCCATACAGGGCTGGTGGGCTTGGACTACCAAACTTCACCCATTACTTTCACGTGGCACAGTTGGCACAGACACAGAATCTACACGCACCATATGGCTTTAAATGATGGCAT